CATCTCCTGGCTGCCTGCGGCCATGACAGCCTCCCTGGTCAGAACCACAGGGCGTTCTGAGACCGTCTCTTGTGCCTGATACCTTCAGAATCCTGGAAGGGGGCTGGGTTTGTGGCTCAGCGGTAGAGCCCTTGCCTAGCACGTGCGAGACTCTGGGTTTAAGCCTCAGCACCACATATAAGTAAATAAATAAAATAAAAATATTGTGTCCAACTACAACTAAAAAAATATTAAAAACAAAAATCCTGGACAAAGAGGTTTCAGCACCTGATTCCACCTGTCCCGAGTGGAGCCCAAGTGCCTTCCCTTCTGACCAGTCCCTTGGTGCTACTGCCACGGCTGCTCTATGGATCACACTCTGATCAGAATGCTTTATGGGCTCTGGGGTGAATCAGATTTGGTCCCAGACACTCCCAGGGTTTTGAGGAAGGAGATAATTTTCCACATATAAAATCACACAAGCTGCCTATTGTGATGGTGCAGGCATGTAATCCCAGGGACTCTGGAAGCTGAGGCAGGATTGCAAGATCAAGGTCAGTCTCATTACTTAGCCCTGTCTCAAAACAAAAAATAAAAGATCTGGGGTTACAGCTCAGTGGTTGAGTGCCCCTGGGTTCAATTCTGGGGGATCCCGGAGGATCACACAGTCTCACTCACCGGGTAGCATCTCCAAGGAACCCAGATTCGCTTCATTGATTCACTAAGAACAGTCAACTTCACCGCTTCATTAAAGAGCCCTTGTCATAACCCCAATGTAGACTTTTCCAGAAAGAGACTATGTGGAGACAGAGAAAGGACCAGAACAGTCTTTATTTTACAGAAGAGGAAACTGAGGTTCAGGGTAATCAGGAGACTTTGCCCGAGGCCACCCAGCAAGGCCACACCACTGATCCTAGGTTGCCTCACTCTGACACAGCACACAGGAACACGCACTCATGTGGCATCTGCTGCAGATGATGCCATAAACACGGGCTGGAAGGGCCAGGGGAGGGTCAAGGGAATGTGGGAGTCTGGGGTCCAGGCCTCTCCTTCCCTGCACAGTGGCCTGGGGCTGGGAACACTGCCACATCCAGGGGGGGGGTGATGAAAGCAGCTTTTACAAAGCAGGGTCTGAGGCCCTCAGACAAGCCCCCTTTGTGGACTCCTCTTCCTCCCCACCCCCGCGCCCCCCTCGCCCTCTTTGAATGGCTGGCTCGCACACACTGGAAATTTGCAACACAAACGCCTGGCTTGTCTCCCTCGAAGGGGAGTCCCACTGTCCCAGCCTTTTGGAGCCTTTTAAAGCTTGCCTTTCTGGGGGGGGGGGGCTTTCTTCTCTCAGCTCAAAACCCCAGCCCCTAGAGGCAGCCACGATGGCTAATTAACGCTGTGTTAAAACACGTCCTGGGAAAGAGAGCCCGGCAGCAAGCTGGGGGTTCTCACCGCCACCAGGACAAGGCCAAGGCGAGGTGGGCGGTGGGAATCCGCACAGGGGGCTGGGCTCTCATTCTCAGGACCCTTTCTGGTTTCCTCCCCGCATCCTCCTTTTCAGTGGGCTTCAGAATTCCCCCACTCCCACCTCTCCCCAGCCACGCTGCCTGCCTTTCAGCGCCCAGCTCTGGACATAAACTATAATAACAGCTACCACCTGCCAAGACATGAGGTCTCAGACAGAAGGATATTTCAGACTCTCCCAACTACCTGGGGAGGCAGGCATTATCACCCTCATGGAGCAGATGCGATAACCCCAGCTCAGAGATATTAAGTGCCTCACCCAGAATCACATAGCTTGCTAGGGGCTGAGCTGGGTTTCAAACCAAATCCGTTCACCCACCAGGAGCCTGTTTTAGGCTCCTGTCTAATGATGCGTTCCCAGTTTTATGTGACTTCTTCCTTCCCCAGATGCTTAGAGAACTTAGGACGTGTCCCTCTCTGGTTCTACCTGCCAGGTAATTACCCAGCCTCTGCCTGCAGCAGCCCTTTGAAGACAAGCGTGATGTCCACCTATTCTAGTGCCCAGGAAGATGCCATGAAGAGGAAAAAAAGCTCACCCACTCCCCTAGTACAGAAATGGGACCAGTCACCCAGAGGTGGATAGCTAAGGCAGCCATCCCCATGCATGTGAGTCTAATTAAGTACGTCATAGGGGTCTGCAGGATGAAGAAATAAGTGTTTATTTCAGAACTGGCCAGGCAGCCCTCTACCCTGCTGCTGGCAATGGAAATGGCACAATCACTTTGGAAGAGTTTGGTAGTTTCTTTAAAAAGTGAACATTCACTTATCATACAACCCAGCAATTCCGCTCCCAGGTACCCACACAAGAGCGATGAAATGAAATTGTTTGTTCTCCTAGAATCCTGTATGCAAATATTCATAGCTGTATTATTCCCTCTCTGGAATGAATGTCCATCAAGGTGAATGGGTAAACAAACTGCTGCACACCCATACAATGGAATTTAAAGGAACCACACTATGGATCCGTGGATCAAGGTGGGTCTCAACAACATGATGCTGAATGGAAGAAGCCTGATACCAAAGGTTCATGTTGATGAACCAAAGGTTCACATGATTCCTTTCATGTGAAGTCCTAGAAAAGGGAAAACCTTAGAAATAGAAGACAGAGGGATAGTGGCCTGGGTGTGAGGGCAGGAGTGGAGATGGACAGCAAAGGGGCTGGAGGACCCAGGGGCAGTGGCGCACACCTGTAGTCCCAGTGACTCAGGAGGCTGAGGCAGGAGGAGTTCAAGTTCAAAGTCAGCCTTAGCAACTTAGCAAGGCCCTAAGCACCTTAGCAAGCAAGATCTTGTCTCAAAATGAAGCTGGGGATGTGGCTCAGTGGTTAAGACCCCCTGGGCTTAATCCCTGGGCAAAAGGGGGGGTGGTGCTGGAGGAAACTTTGAGGGAATGAAACATTCCAAAAATAGGATTGTGGTCAGGGTTGGACAACTGTATACATTCATGAGAACCCATGGAACTGTAGACTTAAAACAAGTGAGCTAGCACTGAGAGTGTGGCTCAGTGGTAGAGGGCTCGCCTAATCTGCACAGGGACCTGTGTTGAGTGCCCAGCGCTGTGAAAAAAAAAAAAACACCCCCCCCTCAAAAAAAGCTTTATGAGCTGGGCTCAGTGGCACACACTTACAATCCCATCTACTCAGGAGGCCAAGGCAGAAGGATCACAAGTTCAAGACCAGCCTAGGCAATTTATCAAGGCTCTGTCTCAAAATTATTAAAAATGAAAAGGGCTGGGGATGTAGCTCAGTGATAGATAGAGCAGCCCTGGGTTCAATCTCCAATACTGAAAAAAAGTGAGCTTCATGGCATGCAAATTATACATCAATAAAATGTATATGTTGTTTTCAAAGAACTGAGAGGCCAAGGAACATCCTTGGGAGAACCTTAGCTTGGTGTGGGACGCTGAACTTGGAAGTCAGACTTGGAGCCCTGGCCACTGACCAGCTCTGTGACTCTGACAGGCAGTGTAACCTTGCTGTCCCCCTGTTGCCTCGTTTATTGCAATAAGAATAGCAATGGTGAGTGTCATTTTGTGAGGCTTACTCTGTGCCACCCTTATTTGGGGACATTGTCAAAATAAGGCTCGCCCCACAGCCGCCTGTTACTCCCATTCTAGAGAGGAGGAAGCTGAGGTCAGGCACCAGGTCAACAAAGCCTGGCCAGGAGCTTCCACTGGGGCTGATTCTAAACCTCATGGCTTCTCAAGAGTCCCAGCTACCCTCTGGCCCAGTATATGTCCTCGATGCCCGCTCTGCAGGGCCCCCGGTGCATTCGGTGCCATAACCCCACACCTCTGTACAGAGCCCAGTGCCCTGGGGTTTCAGCCACTTCATCTCCTGCCTTGACCTGTCGTCACCCCACTCTGTTTTGTTTCGTTTTTAGTGATGTTTATTCTAAAGCCATTGTCCCATTAATCGTTGGGGATTTGGCCTGTCTTGCCCACCGTGTCCAGGCCAGCAGGGTGACATTCCCCTTAGTCCTTGTTTCTGTGGGGAACACACCATTTTGCTCTATGACTCAGTTCAGGCTAAGAAGCAAGATCACCATGTATCTTTGCTTAGAAGGTCTTCAGAAACTACTGGCTTCTAACAGTGACCCGTAGAGGTAACTCAGGTACAGGCCAAAGGGGTCTCCATTGCTCCCTCTTTAACCAGAGAAGCCCCACTTATTTTTTCCATTTGGCGGGGGGGGGGGTCTCAGAACACAGCCCAAGCTGGCCTTGAACTCTTGGCCTCAACTTCCTGAGTAGCTGGGACCTCCTCTCCCAGCAAGCTCCATTTTAAAAAATCTGCTGGAAGTTGCTGTTCTATGCCAATTCTGAGTTTCCAAGTGTAGACCCGAGGCCTGGGGGTAGAAGGAACTTGCAGAGGGGTCTCAGAGGTCATGACTGCCAGGCACTGGAGAGGTGGAAGGCCTCTGGACTCAGGCTTAGAGCTCTTTCCACGCTCCACCAGAGCTGCATGGGGAACCAGAGCCTCTGCCTCGTGCACTTTTATGCCATTCTTGAGGATTTCTTAGTTTTAGGCTAGAAAAATCTGGAACATAACAACTCTCCTGGGTCTTTCATCTCCTTCCTCTCTTCACACTTCTTGGAGGCAACTGCATGTTCCGCCGCCTTAACATGTGACGGCGGCTGCTCCCTGGGCGGGCTGCGGAAATGGGCCTGCGATGGCTGCAGGTGCAAATCAAATAGAGGAAAATTCTGATAATTGGACGACAAGGGAGGTAGCAAGCGATTTTCCTCACTAAGGGCAACAAACACTTATTGGTAATGTTGTGTAACCCAAAAGTGAAATAAAGTTACCCGTGGACAAAACAGACACTGAACTTTTCCAAAGGCACATTTATCTCGGAGAATAAATGAACCCTTGGAGTCTCGCTGTCACCAGTCCCACAATTATTAGAGTAGCGGTATCGTGCTCTCTGTTTGTCTCAGAAAAACATGACAACTTCATACTCTGCTCACCCCCTCAGAGATAAAGGGCAAGTTTGCTCTAAGTCCTAATTTACAAGGGGCAACACTTGGTCCCCCTGGTGGGGTTGTGGATGTGATGCTAAAAATGGTGCTCGGGTTGACTTGTGGGTAATTGATTCTCTGACGCTGACAACGCTCAGGAAAATGAAGGTATAAATAAATGATGGAGCGCCACCCAGCCTCGGAGTGGACGCACAGCCCGAGGTCGGTGGAACTGGAACAGCACCTCGTAGCAGAGGGAGACCTGCCACCTGGAAGGTGAGAGCAGGCGGCCCTGGGGGCTGGGCGGGATGTGGGCAAGAAAAGTTGACATTGTCACCAACTAAGAGACACCGAGTCAATGAGGGCCATCGCCATCATTGCGGAAGACGGGTGAGTACATTTGGGTCCCAGTCTGGGGGAAATGAAGAAATGACCCCTCATTAGGGGTTCTGGAACATGCTTTCCATGGTTGGCACCATCTGGATTGGCCTGGATGTGTGGCACCTTGAGCCGTGGAGAAGTTGCAGAAGCCTGTGGGAGGTGAGGGAGGTCTCAATTCTGTGGGGCAGATTCTGGGGCAAGCCGTGCTCTGGATGGATTTCTGTCAACGCTGGGGGCTCTGCCATGGATCAGAGAGGAGCCAAGTGGCTGTGCAAATCAATACCGTCCATTGATCGCTGGAAACCAATTCAGCACAATTGCCTGGAAATTGATAACGTTTTCCTCTCTTGTTCAATAGCAGGCATGCTCCTTTCTCTAATTTTTAGACACAATTATCTGCCCTTGGAGCCTTCCATTATCCCATGCCTGTCCCTTGAGCCTGGCTTGAATGATCCTGAAGTTTGTTTTTCGTTTGTTTCTTTGTTTTTTTTTGTTTGTTTTTCACCAAAGGCTGCCTTAAATCCTTTCTAGAAGATGGTGGGCATCACTGTTTTGAATGATGGCTCAAGATGTTTTCTCATTAAAAGCTTAGATTTGGGGGTGCAGCTCAGTGGTAGAGCACTTGCCTAGCTTGTGCAAGACCCTGGGTTCCATCCCCAGCACTGCAAAAACAAATTTAGATTTTATTTTATTTTTTAACTTGGAACACTATTGGTGGCATGGTTTATAAACAGGGTCAGGAGATCAATGCTTTGGGGTTCTCAATTCCAAATCAGATATTTTTAAAAGGTAAAAAAGAAAAAAATTCTCTAGGTTTTCAAAAGTAGCCTTGCTAATTTGGGTGTTTGTGACCAGATGTCTGCTGTGAGCTAAAGGTATCTGCAGAATCCTCCTGGCATTCATAGCAGGAAGGTTGGGAAAAGATGGTAACTGGTGAGGATCAAGCACCTGAATTCAGAGGATCTCAGATATAATGAGTCACAGAATTAGCACTGCAGAAAGCTACTGGAATGAAGAAGGAAAGGGTTCAAACTCTAGAATGCCCTTGGGCATCCATTTGCTGTCAGTGTGGTTGCTGGGTTCAGGGTAGGCTTCATTCAGTGAATTTTATCTCATTAGATTGTGCTGTGGGGTGTGTCTGTCAACAGCTATTTTATATTTTACCAGAGGCTAGATAATTCTTGTGGTTCCTATCTCTGTGCAGTGGAATTTGGCGAGCCCATGGATTAGGACTAGGTTTGCACAGCCCGGGGTGGCTGGGTGTCTGAAGGCCCCCTGAGGGGGGGGGAGGGGCGTGGTTTATGGAAAATGTTGAGCTTCTTGTTAGACCAGAATGTGTGGGTCCTCAGTCTTGTTTTGAACAAATGGGGTGTTCCTTGCTTTCTAAAACTGGCTCCCCAGAGTCTCTCAGGAGGTTATTTTCAACTCTGTGAAACCACTGGGTATGCAGAGGGAGGTGCCAATCAAGCAGGTGTCCCTGTTTGATCCCCTTTTGACTTCCTCAGAGGCCCAATGACAAAGAGTAAAAGATTTCCATTTCTTCAGACCCTTTCCCATGTGCAGGTGATGAATCTGAAGCGCCCTGAATAGGGAGCGCTGTGAATAGGGTATTGTACACGAGAAGCTGCCTCAAGGAGCAGGAGGAAGTCTGCTGGCCTGGGAATTAGGGGGCCCATTCTGTAGTGCCCACTCCAAAGCTAATTTTGATGGAGGACCATGGAAAAAGGCCCTTCTCCGCTCTGGGCTCGTTTCTTCCGCTGTAAAACGAGGGTGGCAATACCTACTCCAGGGCCAGTGGGGGTGGCTGCGCAGGACAGAGGGGAGGGGGGCTGGGGATCATATGTGCCAGCCCTGGGCTAGGAGGCAGGGGAGAAATTAGCCAAAAGCAGGGGCCTAGGGTTTACTGGGGAAGGAGTCTGAGCAGGAAAGATGGTGATCAGCCCAAAGCTTTAAAAGATGAACAGCCAAAAAAAAAAAAAAAAAGCAAGAAAACCAGGCTGTTCCAGGGGGCAGAAAACTCAGTGGTTTTTGTCAAGGGGGAATCCTTGTCTCCAAGGATCTCCTTGCTTAGAAAATTCCACCACTTGGGCTGGGATTATGATTCACAGGTAGAGCACTTACCTACCGTGCGTGAGGCACTGGGTTCGATCCTCAGCACCACATAAAAATAAAATAAAGCTATTGTGTCTACCTATAACTAAAAAATAAATTTAAAAAAAAGAAAAGAAAATTCCACGTCTTGAGAGGCGGCCCAGGTCAGGTGTGATAGGGTGGACAGAAGGCTGCAGGCCCTTGGGCCGAGGAGCAGAGAGTCAAGTGCAAGTGTATTCAAAGGGCTCAGCACAGGGTGCAGGTGTGGAATCTCTGGGTGGCACGGCAGGCAGATATGAAAGACGCAGCCCTGGGGCAGATACCAGGTTCTCCTCTCTAGCTCCAGTCCTTATTGTAGAGGAAATGTTTAACAAGGGGCTGGGGTTGTGGCTCAGTGGTAGAGTGCTCACCTAGAACATTCAAGACCCTGGGTTCGATCCTCACCACCACATAAAAATAAATAAAATAAAGGTATTGTGTCCAACTACAACTAAAAATTAAATTTTAAAAAAATGTTTAACAAGCAGTCATGAATCAGTGGCAGGGATATGTTCTAAGAAATGCACCACGGGGCAATTTCATTAAGGTGCAAACGTGATAGGCTGTGTTTACACAAACCAAGGTGGTGACGGTTCTGTCACTGGGCAGTGCAATCTTGTGGGACCACCATTATATATGTGGGCTGTTTGGCCAAAACACTGTTATTCGGCATGTGGCTGTATTAGGAGGCGAGGGGGATTTAGGTTTGACACCATGAGAAAAACATCCTCATGATAAGAACAGCCCAGAAAAGAGCCAGACTGGAGGTCGCGAGTTCCCTGTCATTCGCTGACAGCGAGTGCTCCCCTGGAGGAATGGGAGGACTCCCTGGGGAGGAGGGGTGCCTCTCCAGGAGGGTCTGACCACGATGCCTGAAGGGGCTGCTTCCTCTGGCTCTGGAGGGGCAGGGGTCTCGGGCCACAGGGGGCAGTCTCCATGGGTGTTCCTTCAGAGCCCAGGCATCCCTGGGTTAGTGGAGACCACCGAGTTCTGCCACACTGGCTTACTGGGGCTCTCAGATCCTTTCAGGACTAAAGTTCCTTCTGTGAAACCTGAGCATCTGAGAGAGGTTTACACGTTTACTCCCTTCCCTCCAACTCCACAATGAAAGAAACAGGTGGAGTTTACCCTCCAAGTGGGTCCATATTAGGTGACACAGCAAAAGTTTCTAGAGAGTTCCTTATGTGCCAAGCTACTCTCTTAGGTGCCCCAACTCACCTGATGCTCACAAGGACCCCATATAGGTGACACTGATCGTCTCCATTTTAGGGTGGGGGGGAACTGAGGCCCAGACAGGTAAAGTCACTCATCTTGGGACACACATCTAAGTGACATTTGAGCCAGGGTTTGAACTCAAATGTCTGTCTCAGAGCTGAGCTCTCACCCTGCTAGCTGCTGTCACGGCTATGCTGAATAGTGGCACTAAGGGAAGGCACTCTCTTCTCTACTTTCCCAGGTAAGGATGAGTTCTGCTTCTTGTCCCCGAACAGCGGGGTGTGACTTCAGCACTCTCTCTGGTTTTTCTGTTCTCCCTGATGAGATGGCCAGGGTAACTTTATCATGCCCATTTGCCACATGGAGAAATCAGAGCTGGCAGAGGCAGAACTTGAACCCAGGTCTGCCTGGCTTCCAGCAACTGGGTTCTTTTTCCTACAGCTTCCAAAGGATGAGGATGGAGACTTACTATGGAGCCAAATCCAGTAGGCAAAGGGCATCCCCATGGCCATGGCTGCTGCCGCCCCTGACCATCCCCTCTTGCTCTTTTGCAGGTGCCTCCCTGGGGGACAAGGATGCCACTCTGGGTGTTCTTCTTTGTGATCCTTACCCTCAGCATTGGCTCCCACTGCTCCCCGTCTCCCTCTCTGCCCCTCAGGTAAGCAGCCCCTGGATCCCTGTACCTCTGAGCCATCCCTGCACATCTCAGGGAGGGGACCAGACACTGAGTCCCAGAGGTCATTCAGCCAGGGTAAGTCACTGAGGATGACAAAGACAGGGGGCAACAGAGGAACCTGCAGAGGCGTGGTGAGTCTGGCTCCCATCGTCCACTCTCCTACCCCCACACCAACCTCCGACTCCTTCACATAGGATGCGGCGGTATGCAGATGCCATCTTCACCAACAGTTACCGGAAGGTTCTGGGCCAGCTGTCTGCCCGAAAGCTGCTGCAGGACATCATGAGCAGGCAGCAGGGGTAAGCAGAAAAATTTTCCCACACAGCTGTGTATCAGGGTTTGGAAGGCCTGATGCAGGAGGCCAGGGACCTAGTTTGGTCTCCTCCCTGACTTAGCATCTGTCATTGCTGGACCCTGCACAGCAGAGGGACCCCAGCGTCAAGCTTCAAATTGCTTCTACACCCATCGTGTGCTTTTTCCTTTGCGAGGCTCCATCAGAAAGTGCTGATGGCAGTTACCGTTTGATCATGGCTGTGTCAGAAACAAGCCTGCACAGAATATGGACGCCAGCACGCTACCAGGCACACAGGAAAGCCCTTGGCAGTACTAGTCACTATTCTTAGTTTCTTCTCTGATCATTGGAACAACTCAACAAAGTAGGGACTCTCAGCCCCTCTGTACAGATCCACTAATGACCTCTAAAAGACACAGAACCAAACAGTGGCAGAGCTGAGATCCAAACAGCCCAATTCCACATCCCGTGTATTTGTTGTACTTTTTATTTTGAAAAATCTCAAACTTACAAAAAAAAAAAAAAAGCAGCAGCAGTAGTACAGACTTCCATCTACTCTTCCCTGCATTCAGCAATTCCTAACATTTTACTGCATTTGCCTCCTCTATGTCCATAGCTAGGTATAGATTCATACAAACACGTACACACGCTTATTATTATTCTTTTGAATATCATTTTTGCTGAACCATTTGAGAGCACAATGCAGGCATCATGACTCTGACCCTTGAGCACATCTGCACGTGCTAACAAACCTACCAACAGGACATCCCCTTACACAATCGCAGAATAATCATCACTTAGAACCCATATTCATATTTCATCGGTTATCCCCAGATGTCCTTTATAATTATTTCTTCTTCTGATCTAGGATTGTGTCCAGGAACATAGGTTTCATTTGGTTGTCAGGTCTCATTAGTTTCTCTTAATCTGGAAGAGTTCCAAAGACTTTCATGGATTGACATTCTTTTTTTTTTTAATATTTATTTTTTTAATTGTAGCTGGACACAATACCTTTATTTTATTTATTTTTATGTGGTTCTGAGGATTGAACCCAGAGCCTCAATGTGCTAGGCGAGTGCTCTACCGCTGAGCCCCAGCCTCTCGCCCCACCCGCATTGACATTCTGACTAGTAGAAGCCAATGCTCTAGATAGACCATCCCTCGCAATGAACCAGCAGAGGCAGCCTCATCATTAGATTCAGGTTAGACGCTCACACAGACGTTGTTGTGTCCTTCTTAGTAACCAGTACCAGTATCCATTATTCATGGATTATTGTGGATGGTAAATTTGATCACTTGGTTAGCATGGTGTCTGCCATTGCTGTCTGCCAGATGAGTTAGTAATCTGGGAGGGATTTTCGGGCTATGTGCATTTCCATGGTGCACTTTTCATTCTGTACATAGTGCCGCCCCGGATGTTGATGAATTTGACTCAGTTGTGTGGAAGAATCCATATCAGATATTGAATTAGTCATAGGGATGCCCACCCGTGTGTCCACATCCCTACCCAACACCAACCCCAACTGTTTCTCCTTCTCTAACCACAAAGAGAGAGGAACCAGGAGCAAGGAGCAAGGGTTCGGCTCGGCCGCCAGGTGGACAGCACGTGGGAAGACCAAAAGCAGACAGCACTGGAGAGCATTCTGGTGGCCCTGCTCCAGAAGCACAGGTAGGATGTGTGTGTGTGGTCTAGGGACCTCAGAGGCTCCTTCCCCATTCTCTCCAAAGGCGAGATCTCTCTGCCCAGCAAATAACAAGCCCCTTCTTTTCCTTTTATACACATCAAGAACAGAAGGACTGCAGTCCCAGCTGTTTGGGATGCTGAGATGGGAGGATCCCTTGAACCTGTGAGTCTGAGACAAATGTGGACAGTATAGACCCCTATCTCCAAAAAAAATAGAATAGAGGAAGGAGAGGAAATGCGTGACAGGTGACAGAGATTGAATGTTATCTACTGCTGTATGTCCCGTGTATATCAAGAGGCCAAATTCAATGTCTGTGCCCTAAAATGTCACTCACTGAATGGTTTTGGGCCAGATCCCAGAAATCTGAGTTTCAACAAATGTCCCAGGTGATTCCTACGTAGGCAATCTGAGAGGTATGCCCAGGTTTCTCGGCCAAGTTCATAAAACTATAAAGCCAAAGGCAGGCCGGCCTTCTCACGCCCAGTGGTAGACCAGCTTGTACAAGTGCACTGTCCTTAGTGGGAGAGATGGTCACAACCGTTATGTCCCACCTCACTGACCCTCACATTCACACTGGGAGTCAGGGAAGATCAGGAATGAGTTTTCCCATTTTACAGAAGAGGAAAAGTGAGGCAAAGAAGAGGCTACAGCTGGCCTCAAGTCAGGGACTGGCAAGCCCGGATTTGCTGTCCCCCCTGGAATGTCTCTACACAAACTGTAGGGTTTTTTTTTTTTTTTTTTTTTTTGTGTGTGTGTTTGGAGAATAACTGCTGTATTTTAGAGCCTGATTTTATTTTATTTATTCATTTATTTTTGTGATACTAGGGATCGAATCCAGGGATGCTCTATCCTGGCATCTTTAAACTTTTATTTTGAGATGCTGAGGGCCCCACTAAGCTGCTGGGTTGCCTCCATCTCCTGAGGAACTGGGATTATAAGTGTGTGCCACCACACCCAGCCCCCAGAACCCGATTTTGAATGGACCACAGGCAGACCTAGGGGCTAAAGACCAACTCCCTGCCCACAGCAAGGGGGGCTTCCTGATTTCTTCCTCCAAGAAAGGAGCAGGTTAGCGCTGCCCTAAAGTCCCAAGGCTACGATTCTAAAAACACTGTCTCTCAGAAGGATGCTCTGCCGCCACTCAGGTAATCTTTTACCTTCTGTCTCTCTCTAGACGGCCCTAAGCAGGAGTGGCCCCAAGGAGGGCCTATCCTAAGAGCTGGGGCTTTGTTCTGAAGGTTAAAAGCCAGAGGCTTCACAGAGCTCTTTGGAAGGGCCTGGAGGCCACTCCAGCCATTGTTCCCTTGCAGTTCAGCTGCTACCAATTTCATGTTGTCACTAAGTCTGCCTGAGAGAACAGAACGAGTGCCTAGAGGGTTACAGTTCAGAGTATCACCATTGGACAGGCACAACTTGTGCCCCCCACACCTGTGTCCTCACAGCTGAGGTTCAGGGTTAGGTACCCTCCAAGGGCCATCCAGAACTACTATGTGCCATGTTCCAGGCTGGGGACCCACAATGGTCAGGACAGAGGCAGCCTCCTGGCATTCATAGCACACTGAGGTGGCAGGACTTACCTAAGAGCTGCACAGTGGATTATTGAACTTGTGATCAATGGAAAGAGAAGTAGGGATGTGGTGCATGTCTGGTTGGGTGAAACTGACTCTGTCTGGGGATTTGAAGTGACTTCTTCAAGGAGGAGTGACCAGTCCCGGGTCTCCTTGAGAGCCAGTTGGCAGGGCAGAAGCTGAGAATGGGGTCTGCTCTGCTGACAGGCATGAGCATCCTCCCCTCTGCCCTGTGGCTGCCCTGTGCTGTTTCGTGAAGCGAGAGGCCAGCTCCTGGCCAGGAGGCCCATCCCCTGGTGCCAGGCGTCCCTCCCTAACTCGCCCTTCCTGCAGCCTCCAGACCAAGCCTTCTGTTTCTTTCTGCAGTGGGAATTCCCAAGGATGAAGACCTCAGCTGGGGCTCGGAGCACCTGGAGCCCAAACACAACTGGATCCAGTTAATCCTATTTCACTTCTGACCTACTTTTTCCTTTGTAAATACAATAAAATTCCCCCATACTGTTCTGCATTTCAATCTTATCTACAGCCTTTTTAAAATTTTTTTTATTTTTTAGGTCTTATAGAGTTATATTTCCCAAAGTGGCCTTACAAGGTATAATAAAAAAGAAAAAAATAGCTAAGGCTGGGGATGTAGTTCAATGGTAGAGTGCTTGCCTAGCATGTGTGTGGCCCTGGGTTCAAGCCCTAGTACC